TAAATCCTCTGAGAAACAGGAGAAAACCTAATTTAAAAAAGAAAAGTTAAGAATGAATTTATAATTGTCACATTAAGTCTACTCCCCAGAAATATCCCTCCCAACAGCAAAACATCATTTTTCTGTTAAAGGATTCAGAACACAAGTGATTCCGGCCCACCCACAGTGGCGGTAGCATGCGTTAGCTGACACTGCAACTTGAGTTAAAAGCGAGCTGTGTGGCACAGACTTGGGAGGCTAAGGCCACAGGGTGTATATCAAGGGCCTGTCTAAACAAACGACAGCAACGAAACAGGAGTAGTTCCCTCTAGAACTGTCAGAGGATTTTGTACCAAATTATCCATTCCTCAGTAAGAAGCCATGATCTCAAGAGTCAAAGTCCTTTTAGCACACTCAGAATCTAATTGCTCTTAAAAAAGAAATTAAAAATAAGACAAGATTGGGTGCCAGCAGGTGGTATGGTGGTTGAGGTACTGGACTTCCCACAGGGCAGGCCGCGGTTCAAGTTCTGGACCTGGCGGCTTGCTTTCTCATTCTCTCTCGCTCTCTCTGTCTCTGTCTCTTTCTCTTGCCAACCCATGTGAAATAATAATAATAATAATAATAATAATAGATAAAATAAAATAATTATTTTAAAAATAAATAAATAAGACAAAGCATGGGCCGGAGGTGGCACAGTGGTTAAGGTGATGAACTCTCACATGGTAGACTGTGGTTCAAGTCCCGAACCTGGTGGGGCTTCCTTTCTCACTTTCCTTTTCTCTCTCTCTCTCTGGTCAAATTAAATAATAATAATAAATACAATTATTATTTTTTTAAATTAATAAAAATAAGTGAGTGCATTGTGGTTAAAAGTTGCTGGATCCCACATATGCAGTTTGAGTTCTGGACCCCATGGCTTGCAAAACATTCTGGGCATGTGTGTGTGAAGCCCAAAATCCTGAGAGGAGACTGGAGAAGGAGGGACTGTGGAGTAACTATCTCCTCCTAAAGTTGCTTTCTTACTTTCCCTCTTTCAGGTGCGTGTGCATACCCCATGGCAAAACCAAAAAAAAAGATGGGGCCAAACGTTTACATTTGGAAGCCTCATTGAGGAGCAGATCAAAATCTACCTACTACTTTCCAAAAAAGTATTCCAAGATAATTAATTACAAAATAAATACGATAATGAAAAAAAGAGGGGTCATAATTATTTTTCTCAAGGAAAAATGTTAACCTTTCTTGTGGAATGCTTCTGTTGACAGTACATAACGCTGTCCGCTAGATGTCAGGCTTCCCTTACCTATTACATTACAGCAACTCCATTCTCTACAGTTACTAAGACTGACTTTGTGTGACTACACCAGAATTCATACATTCCCAGCACCTCTTGAAACAGTCCGTGGAGAGGCGACGTGCCCCCACAGTGGAGGCTCAGACACTCCTGGCCTCCTTCAGATGCCCCCTGAATCAAGCATATTTTAAAAATATCTTCATTGACATACAATTTATGTATCACAGAGCTCACCCAGGTATACCACTGGGTTTCAGTGTTTGGAGAGTTGTGCAATCATCACCATAATCTGATTTTTCAGTATTTTCACCCCTAAAAAACCTGCACACATATTAGCAGTCGTTCCCATCTGCCTGCCCCTCCTCCCCTTCCCCAGCCCAGGCAACCACTAATCACACCTGGGCTGCACTCAGAAGTCTATCTGGTGCTGGAAGCCTTCGGACGCAGACAGTGGAACTGACTTTTGGCAGTAACCAACCGTGAGCTGTCAGTGCTGAGCTTGATGAACACCGTCCTATCTGGTGCCACAAGCAGTAAGTGACTACAGAGCAGAGGTCGCTGCCCCAAATGCTAGGTCAAGGGGGTCCCAGCGAACTGGAGAGCACAGACTTGTATGGAGGGTACAGTTCCTACTCAGTCCTGGTCGACGAGTGCCAGTATGGGAATGACAGCCCCCTTTGCTACTATTCCAATGCTTAAGAACAGTACAACAAGCCAGATGCTATATGAGGAAAGTAATGATCTTTAAATGTTGGCAACTAATTTAAGAAAAATATTTTTTAAATAACTGAAGCACAAACAAGTCATAAATAGACTAGATGTCGCTCGTGAGCTACCAGCTTGAGAGGTCTGCACATGCTCATAGAAGAAACTGTAAAATTGGTTCTCTTCAGAAGAGAAGTTCTGAAAATGACCCAAAAAGGGGCCGGCAGGTGACGTGGTGGTTAAGGGTGCCGGACTCCCACATGGCCGACCGTGTTTCAAGTCCTGAACCTGGCAGCTTGCTTTCTCACTTTCTCTCTCTCTCTCTCGCTAACTGGGGGAGGGGGAAATTCCTAGCTTTCGTCACTCTGTCTCTGTGACAAGTGCACATTCCCTATAGCAAAAATCTCTTTTTAAAAAATTATGTATGCTATAAATAATCAGTCTGAAAATACGTTTAATAGACCTTTTTGGTCCACTCAGGATTTGATTTGACTTTAGTTTTGGGGCAAAAAGGGTGGGCTTAGCTTTTCTCTTTCTCTCTTTTTTTTTTTGGAGAGGTTTTTTTTCTATAGGGTACGTGCACTCAACAGAAAAACAGAGAGAGACAGAGAGACAGAAAGCAAGAAATCACCCCCGGGGGGGGTGGGGAAATGCCC